AACATGAAAAATTGATCTAAAATTAGAAAATCTTAAACCAAAAAGATTAATGTTTTCCTATATGAACATAACCTTGATACTTTTAAAGAAGTTACAGTACCAAATGTGAAAGTCAAAACTCAGAAACTCCAAAAGTTATTCAAAAGTCTTCCAACTATCTTTTGGAATTCCCATGGGTACCAATTGTGCAGATTATTAGCAGACCTATTCCTGTATTCATATGAAGGAGAATTTATTCAAAAATTTCTATATGAGAAGAAGAAAACACTTGCTGTAGCCCTCAACTCGACATTTCGATATATCGACGACATATTATCAATTAACAATTATTATAGTTACTTCCATTTATATGTCGACTCGATATATCCCAGTGTGCTTGAAATAAAAGATACCATATTTAGATATTTTACTAGAAAAAGATGTTAATAGTAACCTAACAACAAAGCTTCATGATAAACGTAATGACTTCAACTTTTCAATGGTCAACTTCCCTTACTTATGTAGCAATATACCCTTGTCACCTGCATATGGGGTTTACGTCTCTCAGTTGATTCGATACGCAAGAGCATGCTCTAAGTTTGAACAAATTCTAAAACGAGGCAAGCTATTGACAAACAAGTTGATGAAACAAGGATATCAACAGTCTCGTCTGAAGCGATCATTTTGCAAGTTTTATGGTCGATACAATGACCTTGTCAGCACATACAACCTATCATTGAGTCAAATGCTGACTGACGTTTTTCATACTAATTGTTAGGCCATAATTAAGACACTGAACTTCTACGGATTTTTTCGGGTTTTTTCATGATCATGACAAGAAGCACACAGCGGGTGTGACCGGTCGGCAGGGGATGCTCACTCCTCCATGGCACCTGATCCCACCTCTAAATTTTGAAGTCCCTGTTTGCTCTGCTCCAAATGTGTATCGTTTTATTGGACTTTCGAGATTGAATATTGTTCGTTATCTTCATATTTTATTCAATATCATTAAAACTTCGTTCCAAAAGTAAAAGTTTTCCATGTTTAATTCCATGTTTAATCCCTCGATCAAAAATATAATAAAGACTATCTGTCATCAATGATGTCACTATTAACAAGGGTTTAAGCTCTTCTATTTGTCCAGGCAAACAAAAAGTGACTCGATGCCAATTGTTTAACAAGTTTAAGGTTCATTGACCCTCTGATAAGAGAGATAACTCTCACTGAAATAAATAATTATTATTCCTTCATGAAAATTGTCATATTTAGGGCAATTTCTGTCAAATATGCACTGCAACATATGCTGAATTTGTCTGTATTTTAAATATAATTCAGACTTACTGAGTGAAGCAAAATTATTTATTTGAATGAGCAAAGGGATAAAGAACCTTAAGTAGATGACATGCAGTGGGACATTTTTCTTATTGAATGAAAATCAAGCACTTTCAAAGTCATTTTAAAAAATAACAAACATTAGATGGAATATTTTTCATATAAATCATTTAAATATGAATTTTTAGAATGCCTAATTGAATAAGATGCATTTGATTAATATACATATAAACAAGTCTAAGACACTTTCTACAGGTGTTTAAAATTTTTATCTTAAAATCAGAGGAACATAAATTTAATTACATAACCTTATTCTGCAAATCAAAAATAATGAGTTCCTCATGATTAGCATTGCTACAAATAGGAATGGTATTTAAGATAACATATGACTAAAAAAAAAATCCTGATGCACCGTTTGATGGTGTCCTTGTCAAGGTGGACAAAAAAATCTGATAAAATACACCTGAATGGCATATCAAAGACCTGTTAGCTAAGTGCTCTAATCTCTTAATGGCTTTGATGGTAGTCATATTTCAGAAAGATCCCTTGTATATATTAACAATATAATCATAAATATCACAAAGCTATTTCGAGGCTTAAGTGCTTTCTTAAACATATGCATATTGTAGAAGTATAATAATATTAGCATTTCTAACATTAGGAAAAAAAATATGCAAATTGCAGATATTGAATTGTACTTGAGGAACTTTGGTAATTTATCTAGCACTCTTCTCTGATAAAGCTATAAAACTTCTGACAAATTTACTGCCCTCATAAATTGAAGATCTTCCAATCTTTCAGCGTAGGTATGCTGCATTTTCACATTACAAAGTATAATGATATAAATAATTAATTATCATTCATTACAATTCCCAGTAACCACCCACCTAGTACTTGGAATGAAAAACACATAAACAAAACCAGTTTTTAGCATTTTCACAAATTTTAAGTTCTTCTCTGTAAATTCTCCTCCCTCCATCCATCTCTCAAAGATGCGTACCTTGTGTAAGGGTATTCAACCAACTTTCACGTCTTGTGAGGTTATTTGTATGTGGTTAGGGTAATTAGTCTAAATAACTGATTAAATTTTCACAACACTGTCAACATGACAATTTTGCTGGTTAAAATGATGTTAATTTTAATTTCAAATACTGACAAATGAAGCCCAAATCTCTTAAGTTTAACTAAATAGCATCAAATGACAAGGGGCACCTGCTAATCTATACAAATGGACAAGGTCTATTCACCTTCCACAGAGTAAGTCTCTCGCTCTCTGCTACCATATCTATACATCCTCAGTGCACTGTAATCATTTTTCATTAAAGTATAGTACTCGCATGACAGTCAGGTGTGAGAAGTGCTACTTTTCAAGGTCAGATTTTAAAATTTTCCAAATAGGAGGATGACAAATTTCCTCATAGTGTATCTTTTTGCATTCAGTGATATTTTTTTCTCTCTACCATTGAAATAGGTGGGATTAAATTTAATTCATTATGCCCCCGTATCGAAGATTCGGGGGTATATAGTTTTTGCCCTGTCTGTCTGTCCGTCTGTCTGTCTAGCTGTTTGTTTGTCCGCAAAAACTTTAACCTTGCCCATAACTTTTGATTGGTTAGAGCTATGGCTTTCATATTTCACGTGTGTATTCCTTGTGACAAGACCTTTCTTTGGTTACCACAATATTTGACCTTTTGACCTTGACCTTGGAGTTTGACCCAGTTTTGCAAAATTTTACCAAACTTTAACCTTGGCCATAACAGTTGGTGCTAGGGCTTTCATACTTCAAATGTGTAATCCTTTTGACAAGATCTTCCTTTGGATACCAACAACCTTGACCTTTTGACCTTGACCTAGGAGTTTGACCTACTTTTGAAAAACTTTAACCTTGGCCATAACTTTTGAACGGTTGGTGCTAGGGCTTCCATACGTCATATGTGTAATTCTTGTGACAAGACCTTTCTTCGGATGTAAACAACTTTGACCTTTTGACCTTGACCTAGGAGTTTGACCTACTTTTGAAAAACTTTAACCTTGGCCATATTTCTGAACGGTTGGTGCTGGGGCTTCCATACTTCACATGTGTAATCCTTGTGACAAGACCCTCCTTTGAATACCAACAACTCTGACCCTTTGACCTTGGAGTTTGACCTACTTTTGAAAAACTTAAACCTTGGCCATAACGTTTGAGCGGTTGGTGCAAGAGCTTTCATATTTCACATGTGTAATCCTTGTGACAAGACCTTTCTCTGAATACCAACAACTTTGTCCCTTTAACCTTGGAGTTTGATCTGATTTTGGAAATCTTTAACCTTGGCCATAACTTTTGAACGGTTGGTGCTTCTGCTTTCATATTTCACCTGTGTATTTCTTGTGAGAAGGCCTTTCCTTGGGCACCATTGATTTTGACCATTTGACCTCAACCTTGATGTTTGACATACTTTTGTTAAAAACTTTAACCTTTTCCATATCTATTCAATGGTTGCGTCTAGGGCTTTCATATTTCACAGGTATATTCCTCGAGACAAGACCTTACTTTGGGCACCAACATATTTGATTTGTATTTGACAAAGTTTAACCTTTGCTATAAGTTGCCTTACGGGGGCATCAGTGTTTCACAAACACATCTTGTTTTATATGTAATAATCTTTCTTTTTCCCCAAGACATCTCAATTACTTTTTAACATATCAAAGAAATTGTACGCAAAGGTATACCTTCTGGCGCAGAAAAATCGACTTTTTAAGGTATATATTTACACAAGCATGGAACATAGGGGTTTTTAAGCCCTCATAATCAGGAATTCGAGGGCATATAGTTTTTAGTCTGTCCGTTTGTCGGTTAATCTGTTTGTCTAAAAAAAACTTTCACATTGCCAATAACTTTTGAACGCTTGGTGATAGGGCTTTCAGATTTCTTTGGGTAGCAAGATATTTGACCTCATGACCTTGACCTTTGAGTTTGATCTATTTTTGTAAAACATTTACCAATTTTAATTTTGGCCATACCTTTTGAATGATTGATGCCACGTCTTTCATATATCAGGTGTATTACTTGTGACAAAACCTTTCTTTGGGAACCATATTTTTGACCTTGAAGTTTGACCTACTTTGTAAAATGTTAACTTTGGCCATAAATTCTGAATGGTTGTTGCAAAGGCTTCCGTACATCAGGAGTATTCCTTGTGACAAAACCTTTCTTTGGGTACCAGCAATTTTGACCTCATGACCTTGACCTTGGTATTTGACCTACTTTTGAAAAACATTAACCTTGTCTATATCTTCTGAATAGTTGGTGCTAAGGCTTTCATATTTCACAAGTTTGTTCCGTGTGGCAAGATCTTTCTGTGGGTACGATATTGACCTGATGACCTTGACTTAGCATTTGGCCTACTTTTGAAAAACATTAACCTTGACCATGCGCTGCCATATGGGGGCATCATTATTTCACAATCTTTGTCATTGATACTTTTGCAATAAATGGTAATTTGGTGATATTTTAACTGTGTGTCCTTCATTTTTTGTGTCCGTAAATTTCATTATAAAGTTGGAGCTTGAAATATTTTTGAAAAAAAAAATCCCACAACCCTGGATTCAGAGGTCCTGACATCAAAATATTGTAGACCATTTGCATTACTCCTCCTTATTTCAAATGAGTAATAATTAAAATCAAAATGAAAACAAAAGGCAGGAAATATACTAAAAGACTTGATTTTATTTCAAACCAGTCCCTTACCATATTAATTAAAGCAATGGTTTCTTTTTCCAGTATCATTTTTTTTAGTTTCTTTTTCCAGTATCAATTTTTTTTTGCATGGTAAATACATTTTTTATCTGCTATTCAGGTTACCAACAAAAAGAAAAGATAATTTTAAAAAAAGGTGTCCAGAACATTGAATGTTCATCCCAAACTTTAGTACAATCAACTTCTCTTGCATATCTTTTTTTCAGTTCACTGCTCTGAATTCTATATCTGCTATGAGTCAAGGAAAAACAGGAGTTAAATATCAATGCAATGAAATTAACAAAAATAATAATACAATATTTACAAATAATCATATGTACTGTACATGTAACAAAATGAGCAGAATTTTAATGACATGAAATCAAGCACCACAATAATTTCATCACATACACAATACTCAAACACAGTTACTTGTACATTGTAAACACTTTCATACATCTGACCTTTGTTAAATCACCCTCAATTAAAGTGCCACTCCAAGAAATATTTTGTTGAATAATGCATACCAATTTTAGTTGGAAATCTTAAAATTATTTTAACTATGAATTATGAAAAAAAAACAGGGGAGGGGATCAATTTTTTTTAATCATATGACAGGCATAAACATCCATTGCTAATCTTAAATACGCATGAATTGCTTGTACGTGGGGGTATGGCACAATCCTTTCTTGGAAAATCCAATAAATTGTTACAAAAGGAAGAATTCTATATGACCTTGGAATTGTTTCAGATAAAACCCAACAAAATTTCCAGGGACACAAACATTCAAAACTCCTTAATGCATAATTTTCAGTGAAGTATGTATTATGAATTAAAATAGAGGAGGTAACTCTGCAAACAATTTTTCCGCCTACATGTGGGTTACATGTATAGACAGGTCTAGAATGAAACCAAAGAAAGACAACCCACTTAGTTTACAAAATTTATGGATGAGGGAGGCACTGTTGAAAATTAACACATAGAACCAGCGTAGTGCTAGCTGGTTGTGTCAGTAGTGGGCGTGTCCTTCTGTTCTTGGGCAAACTTCTGTAATCTCCGCCGTCGGATTTCATGCATTTCATCTGCGAATTCTTCTTTGGCTGGATCCTCCCATTCTGGCATTTCTTCCTCCTTTGGGGGGCTGTATCCCGTGGCTCCCTCCAGATCCTCGTAATCTGTCAATCAAAGGTCACTAATTTATAACCAAGTAAATTAAAGATAAGTTAAGATAAATAAATTTAATTCTAACTTTATTTTCTTTTACAGATTTTTTTGTTTCTCCATTAACATTCACCATGTATTTAGACCATGTCAGACTCTCTACTAAGAGTATTTCAATATTTTATGTATTCTTACAATTGAACTTACTAAGATCTGTCCCAGAGGGTTCTGTTTTTATTTCCTCTTTGGTTTTTATGACTTCACTCTTTGACTGTTCCTCCTTACTTCTATTTGCTGAGGATACATTTGTATTTATAACTGGAGTGCTGTAAGAAAAATCAACTACAAGGTAATTGTAAATGATTGATTGATTGTATGTAGTTTTACATCCCATTCGAGAATTTTTCACTCATATAGAGACGTCACCATATACTGGTGAAGGGCTTCAAATTTTGACCTTTACTCAGCACTGAGGGCCATCGAGCAGTGAGGAATCTTTATCGTGCCAACGCCTGCCGTGATACAGGGCCTCGGTTTTTAAGGTCTCATCCGAAGGACCCGCAACTTTCACTTCAAAGTGCCTACTGCATGGCGAAGGAACAGTTGCTACCCATTTTTATCGACTTAGTCGCGGCCGAGAGTCGAACTCACGACATCCTGATCACGGAGCGAGCACTCTACCAACTGAGCTACCGTGAACGGTGGGTAATTGTAAAAAAAAAGTACTTGTAATTTCAACAAACTTTAAACTGCATGCTGATACACGATACTTTAGATTCCTAAACATATGTGAGGAATTCACTAGTATTATCACCTTATTTTGCAAGAAGCCCCAATCATGAAATAAAACTGTTTGCATTTATTTCTTATTACATCATTACCTCATGGTGTAATATAAAACTACTCATGATCATCTCTTAATAATAGAGTACCTTAATTGAGCTGCTACTGTGTTGTACTGATTGATCATCACCATGGCTCCATCCATTAATGCCTGGATATCCCTCAACCACTGAATCCTGGCCTCTACGTTCTCCCTCTCTTGTCCCTCAATCTTCCTCAGATCCTCCGTAGAAAGCTCAGAAAGATTGCTAGGAGGACGAGGCATGCCTGTAAATAGGTAAAAAATGCACATACAAAAAAGAGGCCCAAATGACAACAATGCTCACCTGGGTCATCATTCTTTTCCTGACAAATGAATATGCACATTCTGATTAATAAAACCCTTTTTTTAGTGAAGTCCATTATTTCAACATAAGCAGTAACTGACAAGGTTTGAAGATGCCAGCTTTATAAATTATGGCCTTTTTGTTCTTGTGAATGTCATGGCTTTCAAGCTAGTTTTGATCAATAGATCATTTTTATGCCCTGTATCAAAGATTCGGGGGTATATAGTTTTTGCCCTGTCCATCCGTCTGTCTGTCTGTCTGTTTGTCCGCAAAAACTTTAACATTGCCCATAACTTTTGTTTGGTTGAAGCTATGGCTTTCATATTTCACAGGTGTATTCCTTGTGACAAGACCTTTCTTTGGGTACCATCATATTTGACCTTTTGACCTTGACCTTGGAGTTTGACCCAATTTTGCAGTTTAACCTTGGCCATAACTTTTGAACGGTTGGTGCTAGCAGGGCTTTCATACTTCACATATGTAATTCTTGTGACAAGACCTTCGTTTGGATACCTACAACTTTGACCCTTTGACCTTGACCTTGGAGTTTGACCCAGTTTTGCAAAAACTTTAACACTGGCCATAACTTTTGAATGGTTGGTGCTAGGGCTTTTATACTTATGTAATCCTTGTGAAAAGATCTTCCTTTTGATGCCAATAACTTTGACACTTTGACCTTGACCTTGGAGTTTGACCTACTTTTGAAAAACTTTAACATTGGCTATAACTATTGAACGATTTGTGCTACAGCTTTCATATTTCACATGTGTAGTTCCTGTTAGAAGGCCTTTCCTTAGGCACCATTAATTTTGACCATTTGACCTTGACCTTGATATTTACTTTCTTTTGAAAAACATTAACCTTTTCCATATCTATTCAATGGTTGCTGCTAGGGCTTTCATATTTCACAGGTATATTTCTTGAGACGAGACCTTACTTTGGGTAGCAACATATTTGTGTCGCATTTGAGAAAGTTTAACCTTTGCTTTAAGTTGCCATATGGGGGCATCAGTGTTTCACAAACACATTTTGTTTCCAAAATTTTTTGCTTTGAAGGGAACAATGAATTTCCAAATTTTGGGAGAGGGTTCAATGCTTATTACAATCACGCCAACAGTTTAACTGCTTGATGTCCACGAGATATAGAAGATATTTTAAAGATTGCATTAATGGATGATTTTAGCTTCAGCCCTCAGGCCCCAAGGGGGGCATTGGCAAGGCAGGGTTAACCAAAGGAAAAGGTTTAATAAATGTGCCCCTGCTGAAAATATTTGAGTGTACATCTCTCATGTAGAATTTTCTATGCAGTAAAACCAATAAAGTGAATGTTACTGAGGTAAACAAGAAACCAATATACTCATTTGTATGGGTGGAATCATCATTATAACAAGAAAGAAATTCAGTGAGTTGTTGAAGGCTGTGGTCAGGGAACAGAAAGTCAACAGATTGATATTGACCACAGCTATGCTGGGAAGGACAAAGATGTGACAGATACTGATAACAGTGGTCTAGATCATGTGAAGGAAGCATAGTAATTACCAACAACCTCCCCAAAAAGTGTCATATTTTGGAGAACTTGTTTTCCAACAAAGTAAATGGTATAATAAAAACAGTCAAGTAACTGAAAAAATTTTCATTTCTCTTTTATTTACCACTGATTGTAAATTGTAATAATGATGATGATGACAATAATGATGGATATAATTGGAAATGACTCTAAAAAAAATAAAAGTGCATGTATATCTGTGTCTTGTATCTATATTTGCAGTTTCTGCAGAAAAAAATTGATGTCAGAAAATGGGGATAAAATAATGTGCATAATTGAAACATAAGGGTTTTGGAGAAATCTTCGATGTGGTGAAAAATTCTGCATGTTCATTTCATCAACATTTTACATGATTGTGTATATTGAAAATGAATTGAAAATTGTAAAAACTTTCAATTGGCTAAATCTGTAAGGCTTGGTGGGTTTAAGGGTACCAGAATATTACCTGTTTAGTACCATTACATAAAATATTTCCATTTGTCTCTCTGATAACTCTTTGAAAGTTATTTGAGTTGATTTCTTGGTCATTCTATCGGAATGCAAATTTTGCCAAGCAAAGGTCAGGAGCTAAGAAGGCATAATATGCATGTATTTCTCGTGCGGCTGTCTTTGTGTCTGACGCCAAGGAGGCCTTAAATGCACGTAATTTTCATGCGGCTGTCTTTGTGTTTGATGTCAGTGGGCGGGGACTATTGAAATTGACATGTGAGGCCTCGTGTAATTTAAATCTATTAGTCTACATATTTAAAAACAAATTTACAATTTTTATTTCACAATGAAATAGAAATATAAGGAATCACTGTCTAGTTAGTAGAGTATGCCAGGGCATCAACGATAGTTGGAAACGTGGGATAATTTATCCCATGTTTCCAACTATCGTTGATGCCCTGGCATACTCTACTAACTAGTAGAGTATGCCAGGGACATCAACGATAGTTGGAAACGTGGGATAATTTATCCCATGTTTCCAACTAGCGTTGATGCCCTGGCATACTCTACTAACTAGACAGTGATTCCTTAAATATCTCTATGAGGGCCTGGAACATTGCGGCTTTGCCAATGTTTAAATCCCCACTATAGACCAGGAAGTAAAAACACCTGACAGGTAGATATATGTGCGACACTGGTAAGTAGGACACATGATCAGAGTGCTTAGACAGGGTGGCCGCCATTTCTGAAATCAGGTAATAAACATGAGAAGAGCATTTTTGTAAATTTGAAAGTTGTTTTAAAAATCTAAGAAAATTCATACTGTAAGCTTTAACCATGGGAACAAAATTTCTTTTACACAAAGATTTAATGAATTTTGTATATATACAGCTATATGACTTTATTATCTACAAGTGTATACATGCATATCCAAGACTTGTCAGCGTAATGGCCTCTGACATACTTTTTAGTACAGTGTGGTTCTCTGGTCTAACAGAACTTTTGTTACCCTCAAAACCAGTCAATATATGTATAATCATTAATGTTGAACTTTTCATGCTTCAGACACAAAATCTAATGATGGACCCCCGTACCAGTGCCCAGGATGTGATGCGATGTGACCTGTGTGAGACCGCTGTGGTACAGATGCACTGTGATACATGTCTTATCAACCTGTGTAAGGCCTGTGTGGGAGAACACATCTCAAAAGGTGAATCCAATGTTCACAAAGTTGTCAAATTTCAGGACAGGAAATTGACTACCCTCTATATAGCATGTACAACTCATGATAAAGAACGATGTAAAATGTACTGTAAACAATGTGATATTCCTGTCTGCATCAGCTGCATTTCATCTAATCAACATTTAGGTCATGAATTATCTAAAATCTTGCAAGTTCTGGATGAAAAGAAAGACACATTTACAAAAGAAAGAAATGAATTAAATGATACCGTTTATCCAACCTACCAGGACATTGCCTCTGATGTACAAAACAGAATAAGTCAGTTAGAAAAGGAATATGGAGATCTCTCAACAGCCATATCAAAACATGGAGAGGACTGGCACAGAGAAATTGACAAACTTGTCAAGAAACTTAAAGCTGAAGTTGATGAGATGAAAAACACACAGTTACAAACTCTACAGAAACATCTGGATGAAATAAACAAGACAATGTCTGACATCAAGGATGAAATCAATTCAGTTGAAATAGCTATAGACACTAATGACATGTCAAAACTATTTAGTGTCACATCCAATGTACACACATACAGAAATCTTCCACACAAAATAATGCCGACTTTACCCAAATTCATTCCAGGAAAAATCCAAGGAGAAGAACTTAGTAAACTGTATGGAGCCTTATCATCAAGTTCTCTAACATCAGATAAACATGGCTACAGCATGAAGACAACACAGAAATCACCAGAAGCTGGATCCTCTCCTCCAGTCAAACAGCTGCTTGATCAACCAGAGACTGTCACCACCATAGACAACACTGGGTATGAATACCTTTACAATGTGGCCTGTCTGAGTGATGAAGAAATCTGGACAGGTGGGAATGACAGCACCATGAAACTCTTCAGCATCAATCGGGGATCACTACTTAAGTCAATCAGAACCAAGTCAGGGAAAATACCGTCTAACATAGCAGTGACAAAAAGTGGAGATCTAGTTTATACTGATTACTGGCATAGAACTGTGAACATTGTGAAGAATGAGAAGATAGAGGAGGTGATCAGACTACAGAACTGGAAACCTAAAGGTGTCTGTAGTACCTCCTCTGGTGATCTCCTGGTTATCATGGACAGTAAAGATAAAAAACAAACAAAAGTTGTCTGTTACTCTGGCTCCACAGAGAAAAAAACCATTCAGTTTGATGATAAAGGTAAACCTCTCTATTCATTTGATACTACATGTACATACATAACTGAGAACAAGAACCGTGATATCTGTGTGTCTGACAATGCAGTAGTGGTGGTTAATCAGGCCGGGAAACTGAGATTCAGGTACACTGGACATACTCCTGCTCCAAAGAATGAACCATTCAATCCACGAGGAATCACGACAGACAGTCAGAGTCACATCCTTAGAGCTGATTGTAACAATCACTGTGTCCACATCATAGACCAGGATGGACAGTTCCTCTGTTACATAGACTGTGGACTGAGTGTACCCTGGGGACTGTGTGCAGATGCAAATGACAATCTGTTTATTGCTCAGTGTCATTGGTTAAAAAGACAAGTGAAGAAAATCAGATATCTGCAGTGATATGCATTAATGTGTTGTATTCTATATAGGTAATTCAATAAAAGAGGAATGCAATATTACTGATATATAAGTATGCTGCTCTATGGAAACTTGCAATAATATTTAAATTCTTTTGAATGAACTGAAAAACATTATATATATTTGTCAATACAAAGTCTGGGCTTTTAAAAATTTGAATTGAAGACGTGAATTTATCCCTTTGAAGAGGCTGATTTAGAATTATTTCCAATAGTCTACTATTCTGATCATTAAAATGCTGATAAAATTCCCTCTTGCTGCCTCTTTTTGAAAACAGAGTAAATTTCTCATATAATGCCAGAAATAAACACAGGGATTTATCAGTACCCTCTCAGGGGCCGAAATTCGGCCCCATTCCCAATCGAAAATGAGTGCAGTTTTTCCCAATTTGGCAGTATTTTTTCCCAATTGGTGAAGAATGCTTTTATATTTAATTATCTTGGAAAAACACAAAGTAAGATTGTCAGATTGTCTGTAATTTTCATTTATTTACCTCATTTAGCAAAGCTACAGTCATAAGAAATGTTTAAAAAGACTAAAAACATCGCCAACTTTTAATCTGAATTTCCTCCATTTTTCCTGAAAATGGTGATATTGTGTAATTTTATTGATTTATTAAGTTATTTTCACCTACTCAATTGATCTACGAGTGGATGGTAAGGACTGTAGGCATTACTTCAATTAGAAAAATATATTTTCAATGCATTAATACATATTAAAAGAGGACTTTGAGAAAATGTGTACTTAGTATAATATTTTGCAGGAGTTTATAATCCAGAAACAAATTCTATAATGACCTAAATTGGAATCTCATACACACATGTACTACCCTAAGTTGTATAAATACTTTATACTCATCGAAGTCAATTTTACTTTTATTAGTTTATTACTCAAGTATTCATAACGGATCTTGTACATTGTATGATGAAGTAAGATGATATTTTATTGTCTGTTTGATTGCCCAAATCAGAGTTCATGCTGAAATGTTAAATTAATTCCACCTGAATACATGATTTAAGCAACATTTTTAATTTTTCCCAATTTCATCAAATAGCCGATAATTTTTTCCCAATTCCCCAAAAATGGCGTTTCCCAAAATAGGCTGATAAATCCCTGAAATAAAAATAAATATAAATAAAATAAAAACCCATGGGCCCTACAGCTCATCTGAGTATTCTTGGACTTTTGAAAAATTGCTAGGCCCTACTTTTCAATCCTATGAATATTTTGACCCCAAATTGTGGCTCCAGCTCAAAGGTATAAGACTCAATCAAACTTGAACCCACATTATATGGGAATGCTTCAAAATCATAACCAAAATGGTCTTGCTGTTCTGAAGATGAATGAATTTTTTCCCCTTGTATATATGCATTATGTAGAATTTGATTCCGAATTTTAGCCTTACCATAAATCCAGTTTGTATCTTAAAAACAAGAAGCCCATGGCCACAACACTCAACTGACCCTGGGGTCCCATCAAATTCCAGATAACAAGGTTTGACTGAACATTTCAATGTAAAACTCTCTCTATTGTGGCCCCACTTTACTCTAAGGCCATGATTTGAACAATTTAAAATCTAAATTAAGTCAGCAAACATTCACATCATTTTTTTCAGATCTACTGATTCTTGAAAAGAAGATTTTTAAAGATTTGTCCCAATATATATACAATGTAATGTATAACTTTCTTCCCATATTGTGGCCCCACATTTCCCATGGGGGTTATTATTTGAACAAACTTGTCAGGAAGCATTACACACATGTTTCATCTTCACTGGCCCAGTGGTTTTTGAGAAGAAGATTTTGAAAGATGCCATTCAATTTTCATACATCATTAGTTATCTCTCTTAAAAAGACAGTATTGTACTTTATTTGAACAAACTTGAATCCCTTTTCCCAAGGATGCTTTAATTGTGCCAAGTATGGCTGAAATTGGCCCTGTGGTTCAGGAGAAGAAAATAGTGGAAATTTTACAATGTTGATGATGCTGCTGACAACAAGACAGACAAAAGACAAGTTTCAATCAAAAATGATCACTTCAACCTTTGGTTCAGGTGAGCTATAAGGATGCCTGGTCACCTGACTGGTGGAAGGACAAGGCATGCCTGTAAGGATAAGGCAAGCCTGTAAAGAGTTCAAAGGCAGGTACAAAATCAGAAGCCTGTCCACATTTGATTAAAATAGGCTCCCTTGATCCTTGGGCTCTCATGAAATAACTTTGTAATATAAAGATAAAAATAAGAAATACTAACCAAAAGGCATCATGAGAGGTGGAAACATAGGCATCATTGGTGGTGGCATTCCTGTAGGAAGACCACCCATTCCTGCTGGCATGCCTGTAGGTAGACCACCCATTCCTGCTGGTAAGCCTGTAGATGTGGACACTGATGGCTGGGTAAACGTGGAGGAGACAGTGGCAGTAGAGGTGGTGGATTGTGGTGTCTGGGTGCCACCTATGGAAAGGAAATATGATTTATTTTATTGATCCCGCTTTTGTACCTTAAATTCCTTCCATTCTTTCAGATTTCATTCAGAGAGTAAATTGTAAAACTAAACATGGATATACTATAAAATATGCAGATGCTTAATATTGCATGAAAAGTTTATTTAAAACCCTATTGTTAGGATTTTTTCATTGTTTGTAGTATATTGCTCTAACCTGGTGGAGCTGGGTTTGGCTGCTGGGGAGGAACAGGGGGCTGTTGCCACATCTGAGGAGGAATACCAGGCATACCAGCCATACCCCCAAACACTGAAAATAGGAGACAATTTTACCTGTTTAAGGCAATGAGGTTAAAATTTTGCTTAAACTTTTATGATTTTCCAAAACAATCCAATGTATCATTAATATGTTCCAAGTAGGCTGCAGTGCAAAATTGGACAAAAATAATAACATTTCAAGTTGAAAATTTTATCAAGAAATAATAGTCATTTGACTCATTATCCCAATAACACTTATCTCTTAACTGAGGGCCATTGAACTTTAAATTTAATAATGTAAATCACTTTTTATTCCAGAGAACTTTATTTTTACATAATCATACTAAACTGTCTGCTTGCAAAAATTTTATCCTCCCGTATATTTTTATTATTAAGATTATTACATACAACAACAACCCGAATTCATGAAAATTTTGTCTTGCTTAAAAATACCCTCTGAATTTCTCATGAAAATAAGGTGTCACGAAAATCTGGTGATCTACAGATGTAATATTTTATATATGTCACATACTGTTTTGAGGGGGTTGTGGTTGCGCTGGTTGAGGAGGGGGTGGAGCTTGTGTTTGGGTGGGTGTCGTCCTCAGTACATCCCGCCTACATGTGGGACAGGTCTGCTGTCTCTGGAACCATGACCGCAGACAGCTGGTGTGGAAGATGTGGTTACATGGTAACTTTTTAGCAGCTGTTGTCATGGTTTCCCGACAGATGATACAGACATCGTCCACTTGAAGCTCTTCCTCAGTGGCATCAGGATAACTATAAATAAAACAAAATTGGGTTCTCCTTGAGATAATTTAACCAAACACTATTTAAGAATAAATTGTAAATAAACAAAAATTACAAAGTCTAATTTCTACTGACATAAAGCATAGACTTGATTCTGAATATCACCAAATATGAAATTTTTATGTGTTTTAGTTCAAAGGTTGTGGGTTTATGGTTAAACAAGAGGCCCATGGGCCACAGCGCTCACCTGAGTAACTTTGGCCTTGCTGTTTTTCACCTGATTTCTCCCCCCCCCCTCCCCCCCGTAGTACTTATTGTGGCCCTGCCCTACACCCAGGGGTCATTATTTGAACGATTTAGAATCTACACTACCCCAGGATGCTTCAACATAAGTTTCAGCTTTTCTGGCCCAGTGGTGACTGAGAAGAAGATTTTTAAAGATTTTTCCTATATATTTCAATGTTAAACTTGGATTCCCTATTGTGGCCCCACCCTACCCCCGGGGGTCATGATTGAAACAATTTAGAATCTACACTATCCCAAGATGCTTCAACATAAGTTTCAGCTTTTCTGGCCCAGTGGTGCCTAAGAAGAAGATTTTTAAAGATTTTTCCTATATATTTCAATGTTAAACTTGGATTCCCTATTGTGGCCCCGCCCTACCCCCGGGGGTCATGATTGAAACAATTTAGAATCTACACTATCCCAAGATGCTTCAAAGTTTCAGCTTTTCTGGCCCAGTGATGCCTGAGAAGAAGATTTTTTAATGACCCCACCCAATTTTTGTATTTTCTTGATTATCTCCCTTTTGAAGGGGACTTGGCCCTTTATTTTAACAACTGAAAATCCCCTTCACCCAAGGATGCTTTGTATTAAGTTTGGTTAAAATTGGCCTAGTGGTTCTTGAGAAGAAGTCGAAAATGTGAAAAGTTTACAGACGGACGGACGGATGACGGACAACGGGTGATCAGAAAAGCTCACTTGAGCTTTCAGCTCAGGTGAGCTAAAAAAAGTTATAAATGAACAAAAACAAACAGTATGCCCCTTAAATGTAATCTTAAGGCCAATGGATTAAAATAACCACCTAAATTTCCATTTCTCTGACAGGATCAAAACCCTTAATGTAGCCCATAATACACTAAAGGCTATTGTTTTGAACTATTTTGTTTAATAAACTATACATGTTATAGATTTCAGTTTTCACTAATCACAGCTTTGATCTCAATTTGTTTGTACCCTTCTTTGTTCAAAAACTGAACGTTTGATCAGTCCTACTGAAATTCCATAGAAGAGTTTTAAAATGGTCCTATCCCTATAAATCTATGTTTTCATTCAAACAGTTTTTTTTTTTTCAAACCTTTGATCAAATGTTGAAATGCCCTCACAATAAATTGGTTTGATGTAAATTTGGCTCACACCAAGACTCTCTGTGTTCAAAAGAGCTCACGTCAATCTTTGGCTCAGATTAGCTAAACAAGAAGTCTGTGATCCAATGCTCACTAATAATACCCCTGATGTAAGTGCACAAGTTCAGTTATGGACAGACAGAGTGATTATTCAGGAAGTTGACATTGGATTTGTACAAAAATATCTCCCAACATATGGCATGCCTAAACAAAGAGTGTGCTAAAATTTCAAGCATCTGCAATGAGTAGTTGCTGAGAAAACTGTGACCAAAATTTTGTTATGTATGGTACAGACAGATGCACGGATAAACAGGAAGTTGATATCAGATTCATGTAAAAATGAATCCCACCATATGACAGGCCTAAACAAAGAGTGTGCTAAAATTTCAAGCATCTGCAATATGTAGTTGCTGAGAAAACTGCGACCAAAATTTGTTACAGACAGACAGACAAACACAAAGGGTAAAACAGTATACCCCCTCTCCTTCGGAGCAGGAGTATAATATTTACAAAATAATAACACAAAACTTAGTTAGACCACAAGCATGACACGAAAAAAACACTTACTAGGTGTTCATGTTTCTGATAGCTCTCCTAGACATAATGACATCATGTAAGGCTTTCTTGAATCCCCTGAAAGATAATGCGAAACAATAAACTCAAAAGAAATGTTAAACTTTATTGAAAAGGACACTAGTTTCAGAATTTAATGAAAAAGTAGAGCAAGACTCGATCACTTACCTCATTGAGAGATACATGGGTCTGATGGCAAACAGTGGGAATGTGTGGACTTTGATCATGATTACCATGAACGCCATGTATAACACAACCTTCACAGCACCTGTAATATCATTATGTAATAATAAACCATAAAACTACATGATTCTCCCAGAGAAAATGAATTATTCAAACATACCATGGTAATGTTATTAGAATACCATGGAAATGTTATTAGAATACATGTATTTTGTCACAACATTAGGAAAATTCAAAGAAATAGGTCATAAAATCTCATTAGTTTCTAATTTGTTCTTTTATTTACATTAATATTTGAAAAAATAAACATTACCTAGAACAAAGTGTACTGCAAGTACAGTTTTACTTACCTGGAACCAAGTGTACACTAGGTATTTACCTAGAACTAACACTATGTACTGTAAGTACAGTATTTACCAGGTACTAACTCTGTGTACTGTAGGTATTTACCTAGTACTAACTCTGTGTACAGATTTACCTAGTAGTAACTCTGTGTACAGTATTTACCTAGTACTAACTCTGTGTACTGTAGGTATTTACCTACATATGTAGTACTAACTCCGTGTACAGATTTACCTAGTACTAACTCTGTGTACAGTATTTACCTAGTACTAACTCTGTGTACAATATTTACCTAGTACTAACTCTGTGTACAGTATTTACCTAGTACTAACTCTGTGTACTGTATTTACCTAGTACTAACTGTGTACAGTATTTACCTAGGTGTACAGTATTTACCTAGTACTAACTCTGTGTACAGTAGGTACACTGCCTTGTTTTCCCACGGATTCTCATTCTGTAAGTCTATAGAGTGTAGGATATACTTCATAAATGTCATAGCCACAATGGTCATCAAGATGGCATACTGAAAACAGGAAAGATGAAAGCATTTTATCTTTTCATCCTGGTAGCCTTAATATAATTTGTCAGAAAATCATGACTATTCTTAACACAGGGCTTAACTGACCCTTTTTGGTACAGGTTCCTATTCCCTTTCAATTGGGAATTTTTTTATAGAAAAATAAGAAACAAAATTTGGAAATACTGATGAAATATTATCAGTTTTACTGTAAAATAAAAACAATTATATTCAGACATTTTAGATTTATCCTCTATCATTTTTATATAATCTCAGAATTAATATTGTTGACAAAAAGCCCAAGAAATTCAATATGCTTGTCACTTGGGAATTTTTACTTTAATTTTGGGGGAAAAAAGAGAGTCAATTTTCAATAAATAGAGGGTCCTTTTACTGGACCTATATGCAAGGGATATTAAGCCCTGGACATAGAGTAAAACTTGTTTAATCTGGGCACCACATTTTCCATAGAAATTTACCAAGTAGACAACATTTTAAACAATAGAATTTACTGAAAGGAACTATATGTTTTACTTTACGTTTTTCACTAGAGATATGAGGAAATTTAAATTGCATATTTACTCAACTAGGTATTTTCAACCTACAGAACAGTTTAATTAAATAACCAGAGAAATATGAAAGAGTATACTGTATACATGTATGTGTAGTTTGTGTACATGTACTATGTTTGGAAAAAATAAATGATTTACCTCAAACCCAAACACCAGCTGTACTGATGCCCCTTTGGTGAGTGTACTGTAGTAAGCATGGTTTATAAAGTAGATATCTAGGACACCCAGTAATGCTATCAGTGCTAAAAAAAGAGAGAAAATATAGGTTAACTAAATGGCTTATTTAATGCTCTGCAAAAGTATTTTCGTCAAATCATAAATGTAGAAATATATTTCAAATCCTTACCATCTTACATATACTAGGTAGATGATTCAAATTAACATTAACATGCACGTCATCTTCCCTAACAAAGGGTTTTTGATCTGTTACTCTCTTCACAAACCCTTGGTCTATCGTGCTATCTCAAGTCGGGATTTTTTTTCTGGAGTTTACTAATATTGTTCAACCAATCAGCAAGTGCTGTTGTAAATAATGATATCTCCTTTCAAGATATATCCTGACTCTATAGTCTCGGGAATGAAAAACACAGGTAAACAATGATTCGTAACATGCACACATAACATGCCATTCAAATGATTCAATAAATATATATGTGGCATCATCCAACTTTAAGTTGATGTGCACATAATGTGATCTGGAATCTATATCACAGGTATAAATCTGCCCCCTATATAACAACTAAAAATTGCTCTATTCCTGTTTGATAATTCTTCTTTTTAAAAACACTATTTATTTCTTTCAATGACGTAAGTTGTGTGTAAGCTGAGGTAAGATTCAAGATCATCTGATGCAAACCTGACTTTTGATGGCATGATTGGCCAAGGGTTTGTGAGTAGATTAGCGGATCAGAACTTGGCTAACATAGATGCATGCACTTGGTATCAGGTTCGTTCGCCCTATCTATCTGTTCGCATGAGTCAGTTTGCCATTATTCTTGTTTGCCCTATATCTCGTTCGCCATATATCTCATTCGCCCCATTATATATACAGTATTTAGTAAATATCAACATTTATTATTAATTTCATTCAATATTTTACGACTTGCTGTTTTTTTTTCAAATGTTGCCACCAATTTTTTTTTATTTACTGTAATCTTAATTAAATATTTCAAATTTGATATTTACAGGGACCTATATACTAATATACACTAGTATAAAGGTCCCTGATATTTATGCTCTTTACATGCTTAATTGATTTAAATTATACTTAATAATGTCAATGTAATTTAGGGGATCATACAATCTGCGTTATGTTTTGAAAACAATTAAAGGACTGAGACGTTAATTTCTGTTGGTCTGCCGGGTCTTTGATAGGACAGGTATTTATAGTGTGACCACATGCATACGTCTGCTGTCTCCCGTGTGCAATTTATGTACCAATGTACATATAATTTATTTAAAAAATCCATTGGTTAATTATTCAATTTTCTGCAATATAAATAAGGTGAACGGACCCTGTGTGAACAAGTTTTAGGGCGAACGGGAATGAGGGCAAACGGCGTCAAGGGCAAACAAGTTTTAGGGCAAACGAACATACAACCCATGCACTTTGTAATTTGTGGATGTAAAATAAAAATGATGATAGTACTACACTTACTTAATGCCCTAATGTGAAATAATACTGATATGACAGGACTTCTCTCCATCTGCAAAGGTATACAAAACAAGCTGATTAAAAATCATTATTACAGAAACAGAAAGTTGTGTATCATAATGTCATTGTGTCCCTAAGAACTTAACTGAATTGTGTCATTCTACTCCTAGAAGTAAGAACCTTAGTTATTGTCCCTACAATCTTTTATATTACTTTGTTATATATTGCCATGTCAAAAGTAGCTAGCTGTAATCTATTACATCTAATTTTGATTAATTAGCTTTTTCTGATCCTCTAGAATGCTGGAATAAGTGTCATTCATCCAAAGTAGTGCACAGGCACTTGGGGCTGGACCCCCTCCCCCCTTTCCATTTTTTTTTTTAATTTGGGGTTGAAACACCTTTTTCCTATTTTTGTATTAATTCTAATAATGTGCTACCTGATATTGATAATGTAACCCTTTTGTCTCAATAAGTTGTTTTTATTAAATATATCGTTTTTGACTGATACATCTCTTTTTATGTATCAGTTGAAAATAATATATATTTAAAAACAGCTTACTGAGACAAAAGGGTTACATTATCAATATCAGGTAGCGCATTATAAGAATTAATACAAAAATAGGGAAAAGGTGTTTCAACCCCAAATTAAAAAAAAAATGGAAAGGGGGGGGGGGGGGGTCCAGCCCCCAAGTGCCTGTGAATTAGTGAAGAAAATAATAATCATATCTTTAATTTTTTTCAAATCTTCACTTACATAATCAATTCTGTCCTCGGCCAACCAGTGAAAACACTTCAGAAACAACAGAAGAGTGAAGAGAGCTACGAATTTTGGACTGAAGTCATCTCGAAATACTGTAAACGCTAAGCAGGTCTCTGTCACTGCATACCATGATCTCTCTATTAAATGCTGAAAGAATAAAAACCATATGTTAATACAAAACACTGGACCAAAATCAGACAGTGACTTATTTTCATGGGGGTTTTACTTTTGTTTTTGTGGTATAAAGAGACCCTCATATTCATATCCTCTAAGAATTGTTTAAATTTCATACTGCAGTATTATGTTTCTCATTTCAGGACCCTCTATTCACCAATGAAATATGTTTTTTTTTAGGCTCTGAGAAAATAATATCATATAAAGATATAAATATGGAGTATATCTATTTAATTTTCAACATAGGGTACCTGCCATTTATCCCCAGGAAAAATATTCAAAGACAATGAATTGTTGGTGAACTGAATTAAATCACTGTTGCTTACTTAAATGGCAAAAATATGTGCAAATAAGGCATTCTGTTAATTCAACTAGACCAAATGAAATGTTTAGAATGTTTGAATTGATTACAAATTGAATAATAAATAATAAATTTAGATTTCAATTTATTTCATTTTAGATCTAAGGGCAGATCACTCTAACTGCATAAAAATACCAGTGCAGTGTATTGAGGGTTCTTAACCACGAAATTAAATCCTTTTGAACCAGTAATTTTTTCTCTAACCACGAAATGTTGACCCTATGAAAATAAGTGATTTTACAGTAACTGCTAACCTCTAATACTCAGGAATAAACATTACTGGTACGTACTTACAAGAACCCTAAATGAAAGTTTTCATTATAAAAAGTACCTAAAACATAGGAAAATGTTTGACATATTTATTTTGGTAAGTTTATCCTTAGTTCAAAAACACTGATATTTTAGTAGGTGTTAACTGCCTTGTTGAAAAGTTAGATGGTTTCAATTTCTTGCTCAGGAGGCATATAAATATGGTTGTAAGGAATGTTTTGTTGTGGAAGTTAGTAAAAGAATGTGTTAGGGATGTATGGGTTCATAATATTTTGAGATGGCTTATTCCTTAAAAATATACTGAAATATAAATCTAGAAATATGCACTCTTTTTTGTGCAAAATACACACTTTTTTTCAATAGGTGGATCCATCTCTCTGGTCGTCCATCCCAGTTTTATACAGATTTATCACAATACTGAAAGCCAATGTTTCTTGTACAACTTCCTTCTATTACAGTTTTGTCATTCAAACATATACACACAACAGTTTTTCTTTCATGCAGGGTTTTTTTTCCCTTATATAAGTGGTACCAATAAAAGGTACCATTTCAAATGCCAAAAAGCATTAATTTTTCCCAATTTTGAGACTAAAAATTCCCAATTCAACTGCCAAGCAACAGACATGCATTGTATTTCTTTTTATTTATGAAACATTGTACAAGTTGATTGATTGTTTCACCTCTGCTTAAATCGAAAATAGAGATTAGTCGTTATATGATGGGACCTGTGGTGCAGACAGCGTAGTGTCATACATTTTGACAAATTGGAAGCATTAAAATGCGAAAACAAGGGACATTGATATGAAAAACAATAGTAAATACTTGTTGTTTATTCTTTAAAACATGGAGTAATAGTATTGAGGTTGGAATAAATGCAAAATATCTTTTATTTCTTTAAATGACAGAAAATTTTCCTTTGTTCTACTTCGATGCTATTTTTCCCATTTGAACCAGTACCGGACTCTTTCCCAATGGGTAGAAAAAATCGCTGTCATGTAACAAACTTTCCAGTTTAATTTAAAGGAAAGATGCATTTTGCATTACCCTTTCTAAAACCTCTCTTAGTTGATCACTTTCTACAAAGGCTTTTAAAATAATGCAAATAGTTCAGTGTTAGATCTAACCATACGTTCACTAATCAAATCTGGGGAGTATTAGGGGTTGGATACCTCACTTTTGTCCTTCTATAAAGGGAAGAATTGAGTTTCAACCAACATGAGAGACACAACATTTACATGACCTAAGAAAAAATGATTTTTTTTTTAACTACAGGGAATTATCCTGATGTAGTTTATTTGGATGGAAGTCCTAATGTATAAATCAATAAATTATGTATTTCAGTTTATAGCTTATCATTTTCAGTGGTTATGTAATATTCAGGTAGGTTCAAAGTTTTGATACAATCATTTCATTAATTTCAGCGAGATTTATTGAGACTAAAAATTTTGGACAGAGGTCTCTCGGAAGAGACCTCTGTCCAAAATTTTTAGTCTTGAAGAATCTCGCTGAGATAATCATTATCGTTTCATTACCTCTACTTCTGCAGGTCGAAGAGTCCCAAAAAATATTTTTCTCATTAGTTTTCCCATGAGAATGATGAAAACAAAGGCTTGAATGTACAGCATCTGAAAACACAGGATGATGTTTAATTTTTTATTTAAAACTTAAAAATCAATTTCTGCATAACATTCTTTGACACTCTAAAACTATATTATTGACCATGATTGTTACTTTCATACTTAAAACGATACTGAATACAGTTCAAATCTCATTTTATGTTTGCTTAAATATAGTTTGCGTGCCTTTGAAAAATAGAAAGTCGGATACAGATACAAGTTTGTAACACGTCATCATAACCAATAATCTTTCTTACCGCCATACTGGGATTGGATTTCGTGATATAGACCACTGATGGATAAAACTGCTTCTTCTGATAGTATGCATTTCCAATCACAAACCCGCTTAACACAAAACTAAGCCCTGTTACAAGAAACGTCTTCATAACTTCTGTCACACAATATCAATATGGCGTTCCAATATTATGCTTCTAAAAATAGATGTACAGGGGGTTTTCCTCACCTGGTTTTGTCACTTCGATCCAAGAATATTCGAATTCTGATCAGAGATTGTGAATTTTTATAAAAAGCTAGTTTTATGTTATGTTTTGGATTTTTCATTTGAAATACTTCGTGAATGTGTCATAGAAAAATATTTTGTTTAAAAAAAAAAAAAGGCAAAGAACCCTTGAGGTACGGAACACGGGGGTGGGGGGGGGGGATCCCGTCCCCAGGCACCTGTAGTCACAAAAGGTCGGACCGAGTATCCAGAACATATAGGGAGTGAGGTACAGCAGTGTCAAAGTATGTAATTACCTGTACCTCCTCCTAGAAGTGGGGGGGGGGGGTTGCACAGGGTTCAAGCTCTTCCCTTTACACCTTGGTTTTTTCATCTGTAAGGGACTGTTGACAAACATTGGGATATATATGTTACACTTTTTAAAAAAGCAACTTTTAAATTGTTTTCTTTATATTTTAAACCCTATTCAGATCTCAGCTAAAAAAAAAAAAAATAAAAAAAAAAAAAAAAAAATTCCAACATATAACGTACATTTTGTATTTTTTTTTTCCTTTGGACAAAACATATAAGAAATGTTTCAAAGATTTCTAGTTTATTTCATTACATCATAATTCAAATATCACAGAAACAGCTTCAGTCAAAGTTCATAATTCATGATGAAAATATAAAGGGAAAGCAAGGATAGAGAAAAGAAGAAATATTCCATATATACAGGACACACATTACTCCTCAGCCACGGGCCAGTCTGTACTGCTACTTGGAAGATTCTTCTTTAATGCTGAAACAGACCAAAAAAACCCCAATAATTTCCATAATTTTAAAAATATTTATGATAACACCAAGGATGTGATAAATGAGAAAATATTTCAATATTCATTCAATGACTATTTCGTGGATTTCACATTATGGAAAAATTCCATTATTTTACTTTAGAAGTGCTACCAACGTCATTTATATTTTCAATATTATGTATGTATATTATATATGTTTAATTATCTGTTGTTGCATGCCCTTCCATTCACGTGAAACTTCAAACAAATCTTTAAAATAATCGATTAAATCACTTTTTATTCGATAGGCCATAGTATCGACGACGGATTAATCGAATATTTATTGATATCCTTACATTAAAAATGTATATATATATATATATATTATCTTACGTTTCATATCAAATCTGGAGTCTTCCTGGGAGTTGTCGAAGATGTCGTCACCAGAAAAAATCCATTCGTCCCTGTCAGGACTGGCCGAGTCGTACTGACTGTCGAAGGGTTCACACGCTCGGCACCGGCGGGGACTGGCGTTTGGACCGCGGGGATATCCGTCATCCCCCTCAGAGTCATGCACGTAACTCCTGATGGCACCACTGTGGTGCAGGGGGCGGCTTCTTTTCCAACACACGTGGTCAGGATAGATGTCCATAATCTTTCAAAAGAAGTTTATTTTAATTAATTAAAATTGGCATATTTTGAAAAATCAAAATCTATATTCTTTACGCCGGTACAAGATTTGTAAACATGCATACGTATTCTTAAAACAGGCATAACCTGTTACATGCAGGCCCTTACAACTTATTATGACTCAGACTGGAAAACATTTCGTTTTTGAGATTGATAAAATCATACCAACCTCTTCGCAACAGCGCCGACTGACAACAGCCCGGTACGATATTCTAGCCCAGAACAAATCCTTCTTCCTGAGAAAACGCGGGAATCTGTCCTTCCATTTTTTACCCAAAGCCCAAGGGAAAATCTCGTATTTATAGTCTTCTTCGTCTTCCTCCATGTCATTGGCGAGGTAACTGTGTCAGGAAAATTGTTTTACAGGTAATATATGTATTAAAAGAATATGAATGAAGTTAATGAACCCAAAAATCACCCCCTTCCCCCCAAAGTGGTGCAAATCTATTCCCTGAATCTAATCCCGATATAATGCAAAAAGCCTCTCTCTCTCTTTCTTTCTCTCTCTCTACTTACAGAGCAAGGAAGAAGTTCATTCTGGTATAATCCCGTGTTTTCATTTGTGCTCTTTTAAAGTATGCAAACACCATTGCCAATAGATACTGAAAAAATATGAAAAATACTTGTATGAATATAGCATTAAATCTAAATTTAAACTTTCAGGTTACTGAAATGTGCACATATATTTTTTTTTTCGGGTGTACCTTATCGGAGATCCTTTTGCAACTGTCTCTCAGTAGAAAATCGTGAATAACATCATCTTCTGTATGTAAAATCACAAGGGTAACGTTAAATATAAGATCATAATAAAAATCTAAAAAAAAAAAAAAAAAACCGAGATAAGGCCACCTGACCTGGGAACCCCAAAGACTTTATTTAAACTGATTAGTGACGGGCAAATAAAAAGGGTTAAACTCCGGTGCTTTTCCTTGTATTAGTGTGGGTATTTTTTTTTTTTAATACAAAAGCACACTGACTAATAATATTCAATTATTTATTAGTCCCCTACCGGTGAAACCGGAGGGGACTATAGGTTTCCTCTGAGTCTGTCCGTCCGTCTGTCTGTCTGTCTGTCTGTCCCTCTGTCTGTCTGTCAGTCTGTCCCACTTGGTTTTCCGCACTTTTTTCCTAAACGCTTGCAGATATTGAGCTGATTTTTGGTATGTGAGTGTATATTGATGAGTTACAGATCAAGTTTGCATTTCGTTCCGCTTCATTGATTTTTGACGGAATTACGGCCTTCTCAGTTTTTAAGGGTTTTCCGCAATTTTCTTCTAAAAGCTTGTAGATATTGAGCTGGTTTTTGGTATGTAGCTTTACCTTGATTAGTTATAGATCAAGTTTGCATTTCGTCCCGCTTTATTAATTTTTGACGGAATTATGGCATTTTCAATTCTTAACGGAAACCAGATTACACTTGCCGGTAGGGGACTAGTATTGCTAATGCAATACTCTCAGAATGCTTGTTATTTTTATTTTATTTTATTTTCAACGCATCCTGAATGGGACTTCACTAGTTCACACGTATCGTTACTCCAACAAACTTTTAGATCCATCAATGTTCATGGCAATATATATGATTAATAAACAGACATAAAGAATATTACCATTATAGTTTTTATGTACTTGCCCAGAAGTCTGAAGTATGCCCGCATTTCCGTCCTCTTTACAGCAAAATGATGTCGATTGGATACACAATGTTCCGTATAAAATCCCGCTCCTGTAAATCTGTAGACTGGAATTCTCTCGTCATCACGAAGAGCTAGCCGTGGTCTCTTCACCCTGTGCTCTTCACTGGATTCGTCAAAATCCTTGTAGCAAAAACTGTCAACCAAACTTAAAAAGTCCTGGTGGGTATCACGACCTTTTACGACCTGTACTTTGCAGCTGTCATTTGCATCTAGTCCAACCAAAGGAATACTTTGAAGTTTTCTACTTTCTTCATTCTTAAATGTCTTTTTGGTAGTCCTAAAAGGTATCATGAGTATGGAATCGCAGTACTTTCTTAAGTATTCTGTCTGTCTGCAAACAACACACACAAACAGCTGATCGGGATATTCCGTGTCGTCTGCTTGTTTTGGTTGTCGTACTTTTGGAAGGTGTTCCGAACGGGTTTAATATGACGTCATATTCTAAAAGTGAAAGTACGTTCCTGCTTTGACATGTTTTGACGTGCTCAAACCTGATCTCCAAGCTTTGGTAAAAATTTATTGATAGTACATAAGATTTTTTCTTTTCCACTAAATAAATGATTTTCTAAACGAAATCTTATTTATATAACTAAATTGAACGCAATTTCAGCATACCTTTGACGGGTGTTGCTAAAACGCGGAACGGAAAACGGAACGGAAAACGGAAAGTATGATTCCAGGTTAAATCCCTTAAAATATAAAAATAATACCAGAAACAGTATACATCATATATTTTTTTTCATATTTAATCCTTAATTATTAAAATACGAGTTGATTTAGTCATGATCATTCTCTTATTTATGAAGATGTCTGAACATAGACAAAGCATACGGAAAACGGAACAGAAAATGCCTTACATATATACATGTAACATGATTTGAGCGAAAATTTCCATAATTTGCAATGAATATGTACCCATGCACCTTAGGTGTGGATAACGTACATCTCTGTAACCCCCCTCCCCCCCCCCTACTAAAATATAAATAACAACTCTATATTTTCTCGAAAATATGTCATTTCCCCACCAATTTCATCTTGAGGTTATTCTGCGCAATCAGTTTGTACTGTTTTGCACAATTTGGCCATATAGATGTATGTTCTCTTTCTTCAATCCCCGTTTCAGGTCCCTGTGGATTGCATCAACACTCCTGTAGTTGTAATAAACTTTTTTAAAAATTGTTTCCTTAATGCCAGTGATCGTTGTCTCTAACTCAAACGTATAATACTTTGTCTTTCTCCTTCGCCTGTTTCAAAACAACATTGCCCCTTTTATAATCAATAATGATGATTTTGTCTTTGACGAATAAGCCATTTTTTAAATTCAGATTTGGATGAGTGATAAGTGCAGGCACGGATCCAGGAATTTTTCCGGGGGGGGGGGGGGTGTCCACCCCAGTCAAAAAAAAAAATTCCAACCTAGAAAATTCTTGACAAGCAAAAAAACAAAACACACACACACACACACACAAAAACACACACACACACACACACACACACAAAAAACAAAAACAAAACAACCCCCCCCCGTAAAGTCCTTTCCCAAACGTGAAAAACCTATTTAGGTAGGGGGGAGGGGGGGTAGTCGTTGACTTCTAAAGCTCAATACTTATGACTTTTCGTACCAACTTTATACAGATCCGCGTTTTCTAGGGGGAGGGGGTGGTCCAAGTTCACTTTTAGCTGGTTTAGTATATACATTTCATATCTCTACAAATTTCAGGGGAGGGGAGGTCCGGACCCCCCGACCCCCCCCCCCCCTCTAGATCCGCGCATGAAGTGAGACATTCTGATAGATGATGGGATGTGAGTCTAATTAATGTGTATTTTATTGACCATTGCATGTATATATGCCACATGTTTTGAGGAAAAAAATCATGAATAAATCACATTGTTACGATAACTTTTAATTAGATATGATTTACATCTATTAGATAAAGAATATTGCTTCCTAAGTCTGAATTATACCTGTGCTTAGTGAAAACTTGACATCTGAAATTTTCCGTTTTCCGTTCCGTTCCGTTTTCCGTTCCGCGTTTTAGCAACACCCACCTTGACAGACTTGACTATACACGTAATGTCTGAACGGCGCGACTCGATTAACCTGCAGAAGCCTAAAAATATGAATAGCTCACTAATTCCATGCATATTATGTACATTTTCTCCTTAATTTCTTATGACTAACTGAAGCAACAACCAAATTAAAGCAATTTATGAATGTGTAAAAGGTCAACTATTTCGTACAGATCTATGATACAATATTTTTCGTTCTTTCACCAAGTTTATGTGAATCATAAAGCACGTACATCTACCAACAATAACATCATTCATGTAAACGGGAAAGACTGCAGAAAAAAAATTACATTTTTATAACCTTTTAAAACTCGCTTATGCGGTTAATGTATTTGTTCTGGGGCAATGTTGCGACTGTTCAAGTCAATTTAAATGTATTATGGAATTCGATATGCCGTGCATATAGTCCGCATAGAGTCTTTATCAAATTCTGAATCAAGGCGCCAATGTAAAGATTCGGATTAGAATTACTTGCATTAGGAGAAAAAAACACTTATAAATGAATGACCTGGCACTCAATCTCTTCAATTACATGTATATGTGGCATAGTTAAGTTTGAACCCATTGAAATTCAACGGACGTCAGTATGTGCCAATATTTCTATTGCATACATAGGTTTCTGAAATAAGGTTTACACTACACAGTATTGAAAATGAGATTAACTATTCAAAACTTTAGCATGTAATGTAAAGACACAGTCACAAAATATACATTCTAAAGCACATTTGACTTTATAATGATGAATTCCAGAAAAAAATCCGAGTTTCAGGAATTTTTGCCGAATACTGACATGACATTCCTTTTCTGTGTCTTTTGAGGTTATGGTTTATTATTTGACTATATTAAATACATTGTATAAGTTTGGATTAGTATAGAACACTCAACAGAATACTAATTTCTAATTATGAGCCAAAAATAGACAAATATGAAATGAGTTCAATAATAAGGAAAAGACGGTGAACCGGAAAAGACATAGGTCAATGGATGGTGTGTTCCCGTTTTGCACACATTTGATAATTAGGTATAGAACAATAGGTGTGAAATATGTTTTGATAGCAATTATAGTCTGATCTTCGTCTGGGATTTACCTGGAATTACCTGTATTTTACCAATGCATCAAAAATATTTAAGGGAATACATTATGAGAATTTTACTTATCCAGTTATTATTATTATTATGAAGTTGGTAGTTTAGACATATATCCCTATCGCATTTCACCATGTTTCTTTATTTCATAAAGATAAAATGAATAAGTAAATGAATTCAATCTTAATTAATAAAAAAAATTTACCTGTCTAGTTAGTATCATGTGAATATAATTATAGTTTTGTGTTATTTCTTTATGTTTTAAAATGATTTTTTCAAGAATTAAATCAAAATATCAAGTGCAAAATTAACACATGATTTTTCTTCCTATTCTTTCCGTAGAATCTCTTTCTCCAAATTCACAACTATGATATAAACTATAGCAATTAAGTAATTATCTTACCTGGACAAATTCCCGTTTTGCACACATTTTTCCGGTTTATTCCCTGAACGTCTACTCATTAAAACAACTACTTAATTATCACACTCAATTAAGAGGCCCTCTAAGGGGTCCAGGTAGATTTTACCTCTGTTACCTTGATTTAACAAAGTAGTCAAAATGAAACAATTCAATATTTACTGATAAAATTGTGCCTTAAAACACAGATTTATTGATTAAATACTTGCTATAATTGAAGGCCCTGAACAAATATTTTTTCATATACATGTAATAAATATTTTTATTTAAAATACATTCAAAATTCGAAAAAAGATACATAACTGCACAAGACATGTAAATTAACAGATAATATGTTTATGAATTATTTTTAAACATTACTTTTTTAACATAACACTTGGCACTTGAAGCATTACTTACATCACGTCTTAAGCTTTGTTTAATCTATATCAAATATGGGAAACTTTTTTCACATTGCATTTGCAGACCCATAGAACGAAGGGGGGGGGGGCATTTTTCTGAGTATAGACTTTTCCTGGTGTATATATATATTTTTTTCTAGATTTAATATGTAAATTTTCATTAGATGCTGCCCCCTTACTTTCTGTTGCTGTAAGGTCGAGCGCTGGCGAATTCCAACACTTGAATAAAAATCTACAAACAGTTAGAGTCCACCCCTACCATATACAAACATACAAAATAGGATTTTTAATGTTTTTTTATTATTATTTTAATTTTGCTTGTCATATTTCTTTGGGGGGTCGACCTTTCCCCCACTGTTTAAATCATAGTTACCTCTTTGTTTGGAAGCAATATCTAAAGTTAGCACCGTTTTGTTTACATCAAATTCAGACACGTAGTATCGTTTTTGAAAGAAGAAGGGGGGGGGGGGAGGGCAGAAATTTTTTGACAACTTACTTTTAAAAATATTGTCCAAAACCCAATTTTCTTTTGGGGGTGTTAAAATTCAAAATAAAGTTTTTTTTTCTTTCAAAAAATCGTATCTTACGCTTCTTGATAAATTTGTACCAAAATAATTTATAACTTATAAAATAATTAATTGAGATTTGAGTTTTATGATGCAAACTAACAAAGATTTTGAAATTATTCATTGTTATAGTATTTAAAATTTATGCTCTGAAACAGTGATTAAAACTAAATTAAAAAGTATCTAAAGCAAAATTCATTTAACTCTTAATAAGATATATTGAAAAGAAAAATGACATATGATCGAAAGATTTTTCCTGTTATAGAAAGAATGGTACTTACATGTTTACCGATATTTTATTTAACCGATCTTTAAGACATCTCCTCTGAAATATGGCTTAAGTATGGAAAGATTGATATTAACTTTAATTTTTATTATTTTTTTTTGGGGGGGGGGGGGTTGGGGGGTTGAAGATAATTAAGTGATACTGCCTTCAATATGCATGAGTGTGATTAAATATAATACTTTATCAATAAATAAGTTTTGTCTATCATTTTCTTTTATCATTTTCCTTTAATTTAAATACACGATACCCCCAAAAAGAAAAATTCACAAATACCAAGAAATGCAAAATGGGTTCTAACGCTTACTGCAGCAGATTTCAAGTTTGAATTGCCATAATTGCAATCTGTTAAATCTAAATATATTAGTCTAACAATCCTTGAACCTTGATGCCAATTTTTGTCTTTTAAATTTTTTGTTCATACTAGTATTACTTTCTTTAAAATCGTTTCACTGTATGAAGACGGACGTATAATGTACCTTCGCAGGCAAGTAGTATTGGGGAGGGGGGAGCCCCTCCCCCCACTATTTTCAAACATAACCTTTTACTGTTGAAGACTGGTAACCCCCCCCCCCCCTTTACTTTTTGTTGCAGTATAGTGAAAATAACGATAAACGTGGTTTTGTATTTAGGAAATTTGGTTGTGAAACATCCCCTCCCCCTTCCCACAAAATAGGACTTTCGATTTTTTTTTTTAAATTAATCAATTTATTTATTTATTTTTGCTTGTCAAAGTTTATTTCAGTTGAATTATCCCCCCCCCCCCTTTCAAAAGCGATACTACATGCCTGTTTTGCCGTTTCACACATCTAACATCTGAGCCTTAGCGTACCATGCAGTTAGGCAGAAGGAGAATGAATTATTGTGTTTTGTTTGTTTGTTTGTTTTTTTTTTTCAGTCCAATCAAATTTATGTATCACGAATATTTTTTTCCATAAATGGGTTCTTTTTTACATACCATTTCGATTCTGTGTTATCTTACATACTGTATGCGTAATTGCCTTAATTTTCACTATTATAGCACCCACATTTGCAGTGTTTGGCACTTGTTGGCTTCCGTATTGAATATTAAAAGGGAAGAATTTTATCTAAGCTATAGCTACTGGTGTGTAAAATTACCTTCAAAGGCTTACATTACCTTCCTGTACAGTAAAGTTAATATTCGCTTTTTGTGCTGAGGCACAGACTTTTGGGAAATACTTGTGGAATCATGGAAATTGCAGAAATGAATTTTGACCAAAGCTATTTAAGATCTAGTCTGATCACCAGAGCACCGTATACAACGCTGACTAAACTTCTACAAAAGTGGGCCACTGTACAGCCAAAACACGAAGCATGTGTCTTCTACACCTTTAGCAAACCAAGAATTTCTATCACCTATGAAAAACTATACCAGGATGCAGTAATGCTGGCAAAAGGGCTTCTAAAGCTTGGGATACACAAGGGCGACATAATAGGAATAGGTGGAAACAACAGTTTAGAATGGCTGGTGAGTACATTAGGTACACAGCTCGCTGGAGCACGCCCCTTGCACTTCAACTTTCACGACAAATCTGGAGAGAGCTTACAAAGAGTTATCAGCCAAGTCGGAGGATGTAAAATGCTCATTTTTGATCCGGGAGATAAAGACGTTCATTGGGAAATATGTCAGAAATTCCTGCAAGTTGATTCAAAAACTGGTGTTGTCGATTCCGACAAACTATCAGTAAAATGGGTCGCATTACAAACGCCCCTAGAATCCTCTAAGGTATGTTTTACAATTGAAGACGTATTCAGCAAAGAGAATATCAAGCTACCGGAAGTAGACCCAGATGACACAGGTGCTATTATTCTGACATCCGGGAGTACAGGGTTTCCAAAAGCTGTAGAGTATAGTCATTATCGTTTAATTGAAACTGCATATAATTTCTTGCATGTAGTCGGCTGGGATGACAAAAAAGATGGGCATCTTTCGTTGTACAGTGATCGGCCATTTTACTGGTTAGGGGGGTATCCTTTTATAGCCGTTGCGGTAGGAGGAACACATATAACCCAGGCCAACACACTTGCTTTTCCAAATATAGCAGAATCTATGAAATACACTTCAAGTATTATAGAGAAAGCAAAGCCTAAAATCGCCGTTATTCTTGTTCCTTTCCTTTTGGAGTTACTGATGTCAAAAGATTATTCTTGGAAAATTCGAACAGTGATCACAGGGGGTCAGCCTGTTCCAGCTTCATGCCTGGAAGCCATCGGGAAAAGGTACGATACCCTTTCAGTTATCTACGGCTCGACAGAAGCAGCTTTTATAGCTGGGAGGATGTATAGTTCGCCTAATGACAAATATATTGGTCTATCGCCGTTCCCTGGGGTGGAACTGAAAATTGTAGGGAAGGATGGAATGATGGTTCCAATTGGAACGAAAGGCGAGCTGCTATCGCGCACTTGTTTACCATTTCCAGGTTACATCAATGAAGCAGAAAAAACCGCGGCTGTTATCACTCCTTCTGGTTGGTATAAAACAGACGATTTCGGGCATATTAATTCTGCTGGTTGCCTTGAAGTATTCGGCAGAGTGTCTGACGTGATGGAAATCTCCGGAGCTAAGGTTCTACCATCCTATCTCGAAGAAATTATCAAAAGAAATCCCAATGTTAAGGAAGTGGTGGTCTTCTCCATAAAAGATGAAATACACTGTGACGACATTCCCTGTGCAGCTGTCGTTAAAAAGGACGGGGTTACCTTGACTGAGGAATCCCTCAAGGATTTTATCAAACAAGAGCTCAATCTTTCTGAGGAGGCCAGGTTCATGGAACATATTTATGTTCCGAAGTACATTGTGTTTCAAGAGAAGCTACCAAAAACTACCACAGGAAAGAGTGATAGGAAGATGACAAAGAGCGTTTCTCTACCATTCATCAAACAAGCCTGAATTTATTATGCAGAGTTTGTTTAAAAATATGCCAATCTTGGTATATCCAAAATAATGGAATATAATTTACCCCGCAATTGGATTTAAAATGTAAATATAAATGAGATCTATAACAAGAAGAACACTGGGAATATCCTAATGTATGTCTTATTTACTTATAATCAGACCTGTCAAAACAATTATTAAATTATTAATCAAATCAATATTTTCAAAATGTGAAAAGAAAGGAAAATTGTGCTTACCTAGCTCTCAAATCTGTACAAATTTATACATGTATACGTACAAGTGTATATAGTGATATTCCACTATCATTTGTAAATGCATATAGTATTTTGGTCTCCCAACCGATTCCATACGCAAGAGCATGCTCTGAGTTCAATGAAATCAACTGACAAATAAGCTGACGTTACAGGGATTTTAACAACTACACTGTACTTTTAAAGTCAGAATTTTGCAAATTATATGGTTACTATATTGCAAATCGTTGAATTGTATTCATACAAACTTGTGTTAGGGTTTTAGACAAGGAGGAGTGCTTTTGGTATTTTCATATTGTGTATTTATCATGCAATGAATTGTTAGATTTACTTGAACGTACAGAACACAATTTTTATAATGTTAAATCAACAAATCCAACACTAGCTGAGTGCAAGTTCGAGTGCAAGTACTACTGGTGTACAAAAAATGCTGGCAAAATATCTCATCACATCAGCAGAACTGAATTTTATTAATGGAACTCAACGTCATGTCTATGGCGTTTCTGTTTTAATGCTAAAAGATCCAGTATCGTCATATTTGGTCGTCACAGCACATGTACAGCAACCCTGGGATACGAAGAAATGAATTTATTCCTTTGAATGATAATTACAAATCTCAATTTAAATCTTTATAGAGAGGACATTGACAAGCTGTTACAAAGTGATATAGAATTTTTTGTATTATTTTCATTTTTACCTTAATAATTTAATATCACTGATTATTTCTATTTTTATCACTATTTTGTACTACACGTATGTGTTTGTGGTTTAAGTGCAGAGTTAGGCTGTAGATTAATTGGTTCAATTGTAAAGAAGGTCAACATGACATGTATTCCTTTTGTTTATAAACTGTAACACATAGATCAGGCACGGTAACCATAAACACATTAAATCATTCGGACATATGAGATATTCGTATCAAACGAATATAGCCGGTTGAGGCATAAAGAATTAGATATGTCAGTTGAGATTTTAATTAATTTACTCATAAAACAATGGTCGCGTGTTGTCCGAATGAATCCTTATCACATGGGTGCTGGAATTAGGTCGACAAGTTGTGAAAATGTCATGGAAACCGGTTCTGGGGTATAAAACGGCAGTGCGCGCCCTGACAACCTCAGTTGCGGTTTCTTGTTAATAAAATATCTAAACTTTTTATACAACTTGTCTTCCTTTAAGGTACGTATGTTTTATTGTATAAATATATATCTAAGTATATTCATCATTTTAGAATCGGTGTAATGCTAATAAATTGTTTACTTGAAACTGCTTTGTAAAATTATTAGAAACAGAATTCTGTAAAAAAGAGAAAAATTTTAAATGTTCATAATAGTTACTTATTAATATTTTTATTTTCAGAATGTTTTGTTAAATTATTACTTTGATTTTTATTTGAGTTGCGGTTTCTTGTTAATAAAATATCTAAACTTTTTATACAACTTGTCTTCCTTTAAGGCCAGCATACAGAGGCTGAACACAAGTTGCTCATATTTGGACCCTCACTAGCCAAGCGAGGACAATATAAATCAAACACAGCAGTTAAGACTATAACAATCTGCAGGAAATCATATTTCGGTTTTCGAAGTGACTTGTCAAACAACTCAAAACCACTAACTCTTTCCATGCAGCCATTCAAAATTTTAGATAACCTGTTCCGATTTGTGCGAAAACATGGTTGGAACGTACGGATCCCATCTCCGCAGAAATTGATCAAAGCAAGCTCCTGTTTTTTGGTAAACTGTGTGACCTTATGGATTGGACGTTTTATCATGTTCAGAATATGTGACTTTATAACGAACGAAGGAAAACATATCTGGTTTTATCCCATTTGGCAAACGTTAGAATGTACAATCTCTTAAACTATGCCTGCAAATATTTCTAAAAGCAAGGTTGCGTGGTAGAAATGCCTTGAAGAACATAGTACGCCAAATCAGTTCATCACTATCAAAACTTATCCTGGACAACCAGAACCGAAACAAAGAATTTGTAATGTTCAAGGATATACACACCAGCATAGCTCCAGCAAGAATAAATAAATTCAATTTTTTTTTCTTGATGAAACTAGTCTGATAAAATTTGTTGTAAAATTATAGACTGTTAACCCACTGAACGTGTACTCTCTGAGATCCCTTCCGTTATATACAGTATCTCAAACACTAATATCTTGAATAACATGGATATGTTGGAGTGATTTGAAAGTCCCAATCCCTTTTTCATTATATATTTTAATTTCGATATCTTGAATCCTCGAATATCTCGAAGTGTCTTCTGGGTCCCATTGAGTTCGAAATAACTAGGTTTTACTGTATATTATGTCGTATTGTGGTGTTCTACCACAGAGAATATCAGGAACTCCTTTTTTCTGATTGTATAGTGAACGAATTTGATGTTTGTTTATAGGTAGAATTAATTCATGTGTGATTATGACTTGTATTTTACGTTATTAGATGGCCTTCCAACAATAACAATGGAAGGCAAGCATGATCAAAAAGAATCTATTCCTTGTTGTGCGAAGTTAATCTGCAATGCCTCTGCCTATTTGAGCAAGGCTTCGATCCAATTAAACAAAATTTTCTCCCATTCATTACTGATCTTGTAAATAAGTTTGTATATCCTTCTTTTTCCTTTTTAATGTCATTTATATACAATTTGATGTTCCTAACATAACATATTAATATGAATTGTATGCATTGTAAAATCTCTGAAAAGAGGAAATAAAGATGGAATATAACGATCTTTTTAATTTGTTGTTGTCTAAAAATTGATTCACGCATTAATTCTCCTGACAAAATTGCTGTGAAATAATTAAAAATACCTTCAATATAAAATTAAAGAGTGCAACAAACCACTTATCAGTCATTCTACCATAAAGGACCAATTCAGGGTGTAAAACATAAAAAATAATTGTTTCAAATAGCAAAATCAAATTTATAATTCTCTAAAACATATCGGTGAACTTAAAAAAAAAAAATTGTCCACAAATCTGCTATCGTTAACTTTTTATAATATTAATATACCGTTGATTTAAATGTAATGTTACGGAAGTTAATGCTTGAACAATTCTTATTATTTTTTTAAATAAAGCTGAATTTGACCAATTTTTGTTTTCTGATTTTCAGTATAGAATGCTTAAGTATGATTAATGAATGAAGTCTCGCATGAATCCGACAATAAGTTAAATTTCGTGAAAAATATCATTACGGAAGTTAATCGTTAAGGAAGTTAATTTCCAGCAATAAAAGTTAAAAAGTTTGTTTTAAGATGTTAATAAAAAAAAGAAGCATTTCGCTTCCCCAAAAAATATTTTAAAAATAAACCCTTAATGCGAAAAATTTGCTGAATTACCGTTACGGAAGTTAGATTTTTAAGAGAGACAACTGTTTTTGTCTAATTAATTTTGTTATGTCGAAAATGTTATGATCTAAAATAGTTGACTCGCAACTAGAATCGATAATAGGTTTTTGAAATGTGCATTCTGTGGGTGCAATTTAAAACAAAATCGTTACGGAAGTTAAATGATTTTCAGCGACCATGTCATGACTTCGTATGAAAGAAAATCCATGCATTTCTTTGCAAGAAGTGGTTTGTTTTCTTTTTATATAGAAAAAAAGTTTCTTTAACATTCATTGAAATCTATTTGGAACGCATATACGGCTGAAAATTTCATCTTGAAATTTGTAAATGAATGAAGCGACATTAAGATTTGCAGTGGAATACGTTTTTCAAACATTTCATTGTGTTATATAGCTGGTCCCACCCACAGTACTAGTGTAACGCAAGTGGTCCAATATCTGGTCGACAAGTCGAATATCTCACTCTCCGGTCTAACATTGATTTTTTGGGGATCACTCAGTAAAACATTGGAACTTTTATCCATATAAATGTATACATAGGCCTACAGAAAACATTTTTAAAGGTATGATGTTCTATATATTATACTGAATGTTTTATTCAAATATAACGGTGAACCGTGTGCATATCATGTTGACTGTTGCTGCGATATATCCCCCTGGTCCCAGGATCATGAAACAGACTTAGACTTAAGTCAAATTTTTAATCACCTGTTAAATGTTTTTTAATTGTTGAATGAATCTCTAAATTTGGAGATAACAACACTTTTGTGAAGCAATATTGACAAATAGTTTAATTTTTGTCTGCTTGACTTAATCAAAATTTTAATACGACATGAATATTTTGACTTAAGCTTAAGATGTTTCATGATCCCGGAGCCTGGAGGGCGTGGTTTCAACATTCAGTTTTTTTTTAAACAAATGATTATCGACAAATCAAATTAAACTCATTTACATGAAGTATAATTTACAAATTCATCCAAATTTCTGTCTCTCCTAATAGAAGGAAACATCTGGCTTTGGCATGGTTGTCTGAATCTATCTGATCTGAACCGTAACTATTGAACCCTTTATTATACTGTCAATATCATGTCGTCAAGGACCTATAGTGATGATATCAGAAGGAGAAAAAGGGAGAGGTTCGTCCATTTTCTTTATATATGAAATCACCTTGTTTTTTTTAAATCTTCTACAATAACGATATATGCGTTAAGGTTGATCTTTTGACTTAAGAATAAAATTTTCATTCTTTGGTAAACACCTATTCCGTCATTTATTTAAACAATAAATGTTTTCTTTCGTTATTGGTATGGGAATTAATGTTGCAGCTGTTGTAAAATAAATAAATAAATAAATACAAAACCCGCTAGCGGACAAAGAATGACATTTTGTTTATATTTATGTCTGTATAAATAATCATATAAAGTAAGATTAAGCACGTTGAATGTTGTATAATTGATAATGTTGTGTATGTTTTGTATTGTATGTTGTAAAGTGATTCCAATTTACCACCACCACCCCCCAAACTTTGTTGCAGGGGTATAAAAACATGCATCTTTGGTTATTCCTCAGATCTTTTTTCTGATATCTGTTTCTTTACTTTGAGTTCTCTTCTTGATTCTCCAATAAGTAGATTTTATTCTTTTGATAAAATAATGGGAAAATAAGTTTGATGCAATCTAACATATACTACTTTGATTCTAAACTAAATCAATAAATACTAATATTCTAATTTACTTTTAAGATGTAAATAATAAATTTCAGGTTCAAAATACAAATTTGAAAAATTTAGATATATATACGTTAGTTAACAACTAATGAACATTGATTTTTAAAAGTGACTTTTTCCGGGAAATTGTTCTCTCTTATAGGACAATTCTTTTCAAATAGTGAATACATCCTTTATTACAAATCAGTTTTTTCTTCAAAGTTTGTTTTAAAGTTTTATTTCAAAGCATTTCAATTTTTCATGAATTCAATTTTCCCCACCAAACAATGTGGAAGCACATGCTTTCAGGCTTCAATGCTACGCCGCCCTACTTAAA